TGAAGGAGACAATGATAATGCTCCATAAATGGGATGATGAGTGATTATGATAGCAAAAAATTATTAGCGTTTTTGGATCAATCAAATACTCTAGAAAATAGCATTAATTAGGGTCGTTTTCGTAAGCAATAAAGGGAGTATCCAATTTATAACCTTTTATCACATTATGACCATCCAAGCTGGATCATGCGTGAAATGTCGCGAGCAATTGCTTGATGATATGGATGCGGGGTTTTAACTAGTTTGGTATTCTAGGGACTGAAATATAATTGCCCATGGGTTATGACAAGAGTCAATGGGTCGGTCACATATATCTTAACCTAATTTATATTTCGCTTAGTATATAACGAAAAAACCCGGTATCAGAACCTCCCCCCTCCCTGAAGAATTACAAGAAAACAGGTAGGAACCAGCAGACAGACTGGCGGCCGACCGCCAACGTGCACACAGTCCTACTGGGTTTCTGATGAAGGCGGTCGACCGCGATTGACTGTAATTGTTTTCTGCTCTCGGGTTTGGGGTTCTGTCGACCACCGCGGTCGACCGCGAGACCTGCGCGGTCGACCGCCGAAGCGGTTTTGGCTGGGTTCAGTTTCCAGACCCGTTTCGTTTTGGATTTGTATAAATACCCTTTGGGTGTTTTTAGGGTAAGCAAGGCAAGAGTTTTGAGTAGATTGGAAGGGTTTTCTTTGGGCTTCTATTCTAGGAGTAATTGGAGAGATTAAGAGTGAGTTGTTGAGGGTTTTTGGTGAGAGATTGTAATCCTAGTTTGTTCCTCTTAATTTTTAATAGTGAAAACTCCCCCCTCCTTGCCCCGTGGACATAGGCATCTTGCCGAACCACGTAAAACTGGTGTTTGATTGTTTGTGCTATTGATTTTGGTTGTGGTTTATCTTTTTCTCGGCAATTGGTTTGGGTTCTCGAGGCACAACACTCCCCTCCCCAAAAAAAAAGTTTAGGGGTTATCAGGACGAAACTCCCATTAGCTTTAAGATTTTATTAGATAAAGTATTAAAGTGAAAGGGGTTTTTTGATAACCCCTAAGCTTTAGCGGGTTTCCTTGAAGAAATGACGAGCACAGCGACAAAGACCGCAGGAAATAACGAAAGAACAAGTTTGGATGCTGTGCGGTAGACCGTGTGTGGCGCGGCGATCGACCGCCAACGTGCATGAGGCTGAGTTCTGTTCTGTATCAGGTCACGGTCGACCGCGCCAAAAGTCCAGAGACTCTGAAAAGTTTCTGTCGTTTTCACGGTCGACCGCGCGTGGTTCTGTGGTCGACCGCGAGTCGGGTCTGCAATTGAGTTTAGTTTTCTGACCCGTTTCGTTCTGAGTTGATATATAATCTTAATCCTAATTAATTAGGGTAAAACAAGGACGTTTTGAGCAGTTTTTGAGAGGGGATTGCTGTATCCAATTGTGGGAGAGTTGTGAGAGATCTAGAGGCGAGGCTTTGTTTTAATGGTCCTATTTGGTGAAAGTTTGGGGGGGGGGGGGGGGGGGGGGGGGGTGGTATATGTAATCGTCCAAAATTAGAGAGGTTTTGTGATATTTAACACTATAAAAAAATAAAGAAAACAACTTATTATTATATAGAAAAGTTACACAGAATTGCCACTCAGTCCGTTATAATAACTTGATGGCGTAGCTTGGTGGCGGACTCTTTCCCCACCTGCTTTTCACCTTGTTTCTTCCTTCACGGATCTTTTGTAAGTTATGTATATGCAACTCTTGGGGTTTCTTTTTTTCATATATATAATAATATGATATATATATATATATATGATATGCAATACGGCGTTGCACGTGATGGCATATTAAAAAACTATAAATTAAAATTCATATGTTCCCATAAATTATGCATTGAACTTTTAATTTAATAAATTATATAATTATATATATGTTTCCAATAATATTAATTAATTTAATAAAATTATTACAAATATACATTAAAAAAAATATTTTATTGGCAACTATGATTAAAGTTTTTTTAACAGTTATACTCAATATTCAGTACTTATAAATTATACATACAAATTTTAATAGTTACTTTAAAATCCTTTCCTATTATTTATATGCAGTTAAGAAATTATTTAGGATGTATAATTATTAAAATAATAATATAATGCATTAGTTTAAGGTATACACTATTTATATAATAAACCTATTTAAATTATTTAATCAGTTATTCATGTACATATTTATTACAATATCTATTAAATAATGGCAATCAAATTTAATATTATATGACTTTATGTTGTAAAGAATATTAACCTTGTTCGATAATTAATATTACCCTCAATAAAAATTGGATGGTATAGGAATTAAAAAATACTATTATTTAGAAAAATTATATTTTTATAAAAATATTAGATCTTGAAATATAAATGAGACAGTTTACTATTCCCACGCAAGGCAAAAAATGCATGAAGCATCATGAATTTCAAAGATTCCAATATTTTAATTGCAACTATGTTCATAATGTCCAATTTTTATGTCTAAGACAATATTATAATATTGTAAAGGGTAATAATTATTATAATATAAAAAATCCTATTTATAATATTATAAATAATTATAATTATGTACAATATTTTATTAAATAAATAATTTTACTATTTCATTACAATTAATAAATATTTTATAATAAATTATAATATATTTATTAATTTTATTATCATTATAAATTATTAGTATATTCTAGCGAGTGGCCAAATATTTTGAAGAAAAGAAGAGAAAAGTATATGCCTCGTAAATTTCAAGGATCCAATTTTTTTATATAAATTAATTTTCTACTTTCTAAAATAAAAGTATTTTTAATTTATAACATCCAAATTTTTATTACTAAGATAATATTAATTATCAAACCAGGTAATATTCTTTATAACATAAAGAAATAACCCTATTTATGCAATTATTTATAATTATAATTATATCCAATACTTTATTAAATGAATGACTTTTACTATTTTATATAATTAATAATTATTTACAATAAATTATCATATACTCATAAATTTTGTTATCATTATAAATTATTAATTTATTCTAGCGAATGACCAAATAATTTGAGAAAATGATAAGGTGCATAGTTAATGAGGTTATGGATCATTAGTTTTATAATTAATGGTATAATTTTGAGTTATAAAAAAATTGAGAGAGTAAAAAAGGAAATAAAAATTTTTGACATGGGTATTCTCTTTTATAAGTAGTATAGATATATATTTTAAAATCGTTCGGAGATAGGAAAATGAGTGAGCGACTTGAAGAAAAAAACTAAAGTATTGGATAAAAGTTTTAAGTGTTTAAATATAATAATATATAAATTTATAAAGCAGAATGGGTAGAAATATATTATTCTCAAGTTGATTGAATTTTTTTAACCATGATATAGAAAATATTATATTTTTATTGCCGTTTTGTTTATCCTTAAAACTTTTATTACTAAAATTTTTATATAATTGTATTTTAGCACTATGAGTTTCTAAATTAGAAAATTTTATAATTTGTTAAAAAGTTTGGTTGTGGATGTAATTACATAATGGACTTAATATCAGATAAGCTCCCTAACTTTGTATTATTACCAGGAAACCCAAATTAACTTTAAAAATATCATAAAACACCCCTTAAGTTTGGGAATTATCAGAAAACCCTCTTTAACTTTAAGATTTTATCATAATACCCACTAATTGTCCATCATTATTCTAAAGTTTTAGTGGACGAAAAATACCCCTAAGTAGAGATTTTCAGTGTGAAGGGTTTTTTGCAAGAAATTATTTTGACGTGTTAAACTGAATTTTTAATTTTTTTAATCATGTAGAGGTGAAATCCCTTTGGAGGTATTTTTGTCCACTGAAAATTTGGATAATGAGATATAACGCCATTAAGGGGTTTTATGATAAAACCTTAAACTTAAAGGGGGGAACTGAGTTATACGTAATTTGTTATTATATTTTAAGAATTAAAGAAGGAAACATTCATCGGAAGTCAACAATTGGACATGACAGATAAATGCCCATTATATATTTACCATAATATAGATATAGTTTTGCTAAAACAGAACCATAGCAGTTAAATTGTAACCCCAATATCTAGGTTCCTTTCTAGTATAGAGTGCAAGACCACATCACTGTCATAATATCTAAGGACAAGTTTTTTTTATCTCCAGCATACAAAATTATCAAAGTTCCTAAAAATGAAAGCATTGGCATTAGCCATTTGTTAACTCGCACAATGAAATCTTAAATGTAGGATTAACATATATAATATGAGTCATTATGATTCACACCAGTATTGGAACTATGTCAGTAGTAAAACTATACTTATAACGTATCAATTGATATGTTATGCATAAATATATAGTTAAGAGAGAGAAATGATGGAAACTTAATGCTCAACTAATAAGAGGTAACCTATCACTGATTTGAAGCCTACATTCGAGTAAAGATACTTGCGACGTTGATATTAATACCAATTTACTAAACCGCACAAGCGTTAAAATGAGCAAGCTTATGCTTAATTAGCACGCACGTTCCGACTACAAACTAACTCAATACTATACTTGAATTAGTGAATAAAAGACCACACAATCACACAGAAGATAACCACAACAGACAATTATAATATGTGCAGCCCGGTCAACCATGCAAGGTCGAGGAATTATTCATAATGAGGAAGAAGAATACAATAGAGCACAATCAAAACTATATATGGCATCATATTTCAGCAGTCCACGGGGCTGACGCCATCAATGAGTTGGTCAATTAGTGAGATTGACGAGAGGTCGATTTAGTTAGAGGGAGATGGTCAGATGGGGCAAGATGAGACAAGAAGTGAAAATAAAAGAGTGTTATACCAAACTAAGTTTTAGAGCTCTGGCTGCTGTTCCAATAAGAGTACCTAAACCTCCACACTTTCCCGTCCGCGGTGTCCTCAAAGCTTACCAGCACGCTCTCCCGCCCTCCGTCCCGCAGCGCCGGCAGGTGCCTCTCCTCATGCTGCTTCTGTATCACCAGCCTGTTCAGCTTCCCCACATCGCTCGGCGTCACCGTCTTGTTGAACAAATGCTCTCTGCTCATGCTAGCGCCGCCGCGACCATCCGGCTGCGTGGCCGCCTTATCATTGTTGTTGTTGCTGCTGTTATCGGTACTGAATGTGAGCCTGCCCTGGCGGAGCTCGTCGGCGTAGGTGTGTTTTCTAAGGATGTTGATGACCTCTGCTTTGGAGTGACGAGCCAGGAACTCGAGCTCGGTGTTGTCGAAGGGGTTGGACGCTGAGAGGGTCTTGAAGTTGGTGACGACGTCGCGGCCGCGGAAGCGCTATGTGGCGACGTAGTAGGAGCGGGACGGCAACGGGGCTCGGAGGTGAGGTGCCGAGCCAGCGCGGCTGGTGCTTTCTCGTTACTTAGGCCCCAGTGGGCCGTTGGGCTGGGGGTACGACGCCCTTGTACTGGGACGAGGGAAAGCTTCGCTTGATTCGTCCCTCAGCGTTGGTCTCGGAGGTTGAGGACGACACTGGGAGCCGCCGATGCCCGTGCGCTGTAGCTGGGGGTGGTGCAGGGGTCTTCTCCACCGCCGCTGCTGTCCATGGTGTTGATGGTGGTGGTGGAGTAGAAATATGAATGAATGGGGTCGGTAGAGAGAGAGATAGATAGAGACGTGGAGGGGTTGGGAAGCTTGTGGAGGGATATATATAAGGAGGGGATTTGGATTCTTTTTTGCTATGTTTCGACATTAGAGATTTATATTAGAGGGATTGGTGAGGAGGAGGAGGTTAGAGAAAGAAGGATTTATAGATTGATGGGGATGGTGGTTATGATATGAAGGAGATGAAAAGAGTTTTCATTGAGTGGGAATTTGAAGGGAATAACGTTTCATAAATTTACTCTCATAATTATTGTGAGTAGAGAGGGACAATGGTTCATTATACCTCTTTAGCTTCAAGATTTATTCATTTACGTTCAATTTTAAAGTAAATTCCACTCATGCCTTAGTCCTTTTTGCCCTCAATATATGGTGGCATAATGTATGATACAGGGTATTAGCAATAGATGTGTAACGTTATTATTGTTCATATTGTATTGATATCATCATTATTGTCAAATGATATTATTGTTGAGGGTAATTTTGGTAAAAAAATTTTTTAGCACCCTTCACACTTTTAGAATAGTACAATACATGATAAAATTAGAATTAAGAAATTTGTAAAGGGCAAAATGGGTATGCAAAAGTTTTAACATTTGTTTTCTCTTTTAGAAGTAGTACTAGTATAATTGCACGTGCAAATGCACGTGGTAAAAATTATAATTTATTAATTTATTATTGATTCATTTCATTAAGATTTATTTTATTTAAACCATGTTTCAAACATATGGATAGAATTTAAAATTTTAAAAGGATGGAATAATGAAATTACATATTTGTATCACTTGGGTGATAATAGATTGTTTGCATACTTACAATTGACAGTAGAAGACCTATTTAATCATAATCATCCAATATAAATGTTACTAAAATAGTAGCATCAATTTTTTTATTTAGTCTTACCTTTTTCTATCTCCTCAAAACAATTAATAGTAATGCAACAAACAATAGAGATACTATAAATATATCTTTTTATCATTGGATATTTTATAGCCTTAATGGTTCCAAATTTTTTTTAGCGGTTAGCTACAAACAAATCATCCCTCCTGCTTTGTTCTTAAGATTCCAATGTACATAAGTTAAGCATATAAAATTAGCTAACTATATGCCAACCTATTCAAAAGGGTCATCCTAATAAAAGGAAACATATAGAGTTTGTTGTTATACTGCAGACAAAATAAGCTTACAAGCAAGTAATAACAATGCCCATTGGTTACAAAGGTAAATGAGAGGACCAAAGATGGAATGCACTAAACCATACGTGTATTTCAAAACACACCAACATCCAATGGATCAAGCAATCACTACAAAAATATATAAAGAAAGTGCTTCCCTACATGCTAAACATAAAACGTTACATGTCATGGGTTTGTAGATGTCAGGCTACAAGTAGACATACATTCATGATTCATCAAATAAATTTTACAAAATAACAAATCACAAGCGACAACCCAACAACACATGGTGAAGAACAGGAAAGTTTGTATGTAATATAACCTGAAACCACAAGTCTATGTGGTATCTAGTAAAGTTGCCTCGCAATGTATGGAGACCTTCATACATGGGAAAACAAATACAAATCATTACCACAACCTAAATCCATATATTATAGAAAATTTTAGTAATTTACCTAGCAATGAAGAATATATTGCTCTTCTGGCAGTTCTCCTCGGTGACAAAATCAAAGTCATAAATAGCATATCGACATTCCTTCTCACGAAGGCTCGCAGTGAAATCCTCGTAGCTCATAGTGGGTTAACCAAGTTTCTCCACAACAACCTGTTTCAGCTTCTCATCTATCTTAAAAACTATGAAACGATGAGTTTTCTTCGCCTTCAACTCCAAGAATTTCAGCTTGCAATCATCATCCACAGCCATCCCAAACGCCACCTTGGCATTAAATTGACCGCAACAAACGAATTACGACGAAAAGAGTGAAGAGGTTACAACTAATTCAACTAACCAAGTGTTTCAAGATCTCAAGAAATTTAAAATCGAATTATAAACATATAAGACTAAACTCGACCTATAATCTGATTGACTTTAGGTTCACACATCAACAGTAAATTATGGATTCAAAAAGATAATTTAAAAAAACCTAAAGAATTAAGCAATCAACACACATAAAATCCACGAAATCTCTCAATCACGAGATTCACAACGCAAGTTCTACACTACAGATACATGAAAAATACCTAAAAATGTTGAAAAGCACAAATAATTCAAGAAAAATTACTCCAACGATCTCATACATTCACTCGTAATGTCGATCATCTATTAACCCTAACATTCAAGCATTACCAATTATTTCATCAAGATAGAAATCACTCACACGCAACCGAATGAATGATAAATTTAAGCTGAAGAAAAAACTCTTTTATTTCAAATATGATAGATTTATAATGACATGCAAAGGATCATTACTAAGGAAGATGTGTTATTATGATAAATCAGTTATATTAGCTTGGATGAAAATAATTTAGCAATACATGTGGCACATACCTGCTCAGGAGTTTTTTCATGATACCTATTTTCAGATACACCTTGCGCAAGCAGCTTTTTCCGCCTACCACTTGTATAAAGTTCAAACAGGCATCCGTGCGCTTTTGCAATAAGACCCATCCTCAAGGGACATAAACATAGATGTGCCATTGACCTGTTGAATAGAATCTGAGATGAAATGTCCATGATCCAAATCCCTTCTTGCAAATGATTCATCAACAACCCTGTTGAATAGAATCTGAGATGAAATGTCCATGATCCAAATCCCTTCTTGCAAATGATTCATCAACAAAAGTTTGCGTGGAGTCGAGATCACAAAAAACCATGATCCAAATCCCTTCTTGCAAATGATTCATCAACAAAAGTTTGCGTGGAGTCGAGATCACAAAAAAGGTCATATGCATGTTATAAGTAATAAAGTCAAGTATTCTCTGAATATGTATTTATATTCACACAGTTAAATGCTAAATTTAAGGTAATAACTGCATAATTAATCAAAGCATGCAATAGTAATCAAACAACTATATGTGCATATGCTAATAATTCATAAATTGTCCTAACAAATAACATTCATCAGTTTATCATCTTAAAAGCATATGAAAAATAGTACGCAGGTGAATCAACTGGAATACATTGGAACAAGAAGCAACGCATTGAGATGAAGAATTGTTGCAACAATAACTCAAATTAACAACACAGGTGCAATTTAAGTTTTAGTTTCTCATTTAGACTATAGAATTGATTCCAATTATACGTTTACCATCAGAACAGAACAATCGGTAGAATCTTGACAAGAGCAATTTGGGTTCACTACAAGAATCCTTTCCTATAACAATTTGTCAGAAAGCCTTGAGTAGTTAAACCTTACTGGTCAATTGAAAAATAAATCCCCCCCCAAATTGTATATGCAAACAACCAAACAACTATGCTTCCTTGTTAGCAAGTAAACATGTAGCATGACACAGACATGGGACAAGACTATTATTCAAAAAGTATGACATGGAGACACAACAACTTGATATTTCAATATATGTTGTAATAATTATAATAGTAAAGGGAGTTTATATGCCTACACGCCATATTCATGCTTCCAAGGGTCTAAACAATTATTTCTAAATAAAACAGATAATGATTACATTAATAAACAATAAATAAAAAAAAAAAAATGAGTTTCAACTACCATAATGATGTTTGAAATTTTGCATAAACCTAATTTATTTGCAAGCATATTCAAGAGTCAATAAAAAAATTTTAGCAGGGCTAACAAATAACATTGGGACCAGAACAATACAAAGTAAGAAAAATAAGCATTGATGATTGAAAACAATGCTCATTTGCTTGGATGCAAAAGAAATGAGTCATGTTCCTGAATGAAGTGAATTTGAAAAAGCCATCCTAGCTGGAGTGAATATTTCTAAACCGCGTTACAATTCAAAGCTCAAACCAAAGATTATTAAGAAGCTTTATTAAGAAAAATGTAACAACACTGGTTAAACAATTCAATTTTTCAGAATGTTTACAAAGAGGTAATCTTAATTTTTATCAGTTTCATGCAAGCATTTCCGCACATAGCAGGTTGGCAATGAAGTGCGTTAGGCAAGAAAACTCATTAAAATGATCAATTTATTATAATAAACATTCAATAGTCGAGAAAAGTAAACACATAGCAGTTATTTAAACCCTTATTTAGTTCATGAGAAATTCCTGGAAATGGAATCTTTCCTGTTGAAGTGTCCATTTCTAGGAGCGTTCGAGATTTGCAGATTCAATTACCCTATGAGTATACAAGTCCATTTACTACTAAAATCCAAGAATTGTTAGGAGTATCAGACAAAATCGAGATGGTTAACTCATGCATGCTAACGATATTAACTTGAAGGGTAATGCAAGTAGGTATTATTGAGACAATGAGAGGTACAAGATAATAATGTTTGTAACACAATGCATGCTAAGAGACCACGCATCAAAGCTAGTCAGGTGGTTCACTCAGAATATTGCATAGAATTCTACGTAAAAGCAAAAATTGAATATTCGCACAAAATAATTATGAAATGCAAAAGCACAATTTCATAAGATAAACATTAATTTTTTCAGACCTATCTCTACAATTTTCGATTAAATGCTTAGTCAATTTGAAGTATTTCATTGTCGTCATCAAAGCCATTTCCTAATAAATGAAGTGTGTTTCATCAAAAAAATCATCATGAAATATGAGTGGCCAAAGCCTGAAGAAAAGTTGGTTGCTAGAGGGAAGTTTATCGTTTCTCATTCAGAGAACAGACACACTTTAATGTTTGTAACACAATGCATGTTCAGAGACCACGCATCAAAGCTAGTCAGGTGGTTCACTCAGAATATTGCTTAGAATTCTACGTAAAAGAAAAAACTGAATATTCGCACAAAATAATTATAGAATGCAGAAGAACGATTTCATAAGATAAACTTTAATTTCATCAAACCTATCTCTACAATTTTCGATTAAATGCTTAGTCAATTTGAAGTATTTCAATGTCGTCATCAAAGCCATTTACTATATTAAATCCCAATGACATGCTTTGCATGGGTAGTTGAAACTGTCTCCTCGATTTGAATGCAAACCTGGTGAATTCTAGATGTAAGTATGTAACAAATTATTGTATTTATTCTTAGCTTGAGTAGGAAATAAATCAAAAACCTATAGCATAATAATATCCGATTTATTCAATGCCTTCCATTGGAACATGAAATGTTTAGCCAGAGTGAGGGCTTTCCTCCTTGAGTCTTCCCCAAAGATGACATGAGGAATTCAGAAGACCTATTGGAGAGTACTGTACAACAAACAACTCCAACCAAAGGGTACAAACCTACAATGGCAGTATAAGAATTCATCGCATTTCAACATACGTAGATGTTCACTCTTATTGCAAGAAAACAAGAAAAATATGCACATTTTTATCTTTCTAAACTACAGGAAAATATAGCGTGCTTATAATTTGATAGGATAGTCCCATATCATGCATGTAGGGAATTAAACAATCTTAGTTAAAAGTCTCAAAAAATCTATCATAAAGTATGAGTGGCTAAAGCCTGAAGAAAAGTTGGTTGCTAGAGGGAAGTTTATCGTTTCTCATTCAGAGAACAGACACACTTTAATGTTTGTAACACAATGCATGTTCAGAGACCACGCATCAAAGCTAGTCAGGTGGTTCACTCAGAATATTGCTTAGAATTCTACGTAAAAGAAAAAACTGAATATTCACACAAAATAATTATAGAATGCAGAAGAACGATTTCATAAGATAAACTTTAATTTCATCAAACCTATCTCTACAATTTTCGATTAAATGCTTAGTCAATTTGAAGTATTTCAATGTCGTCATCAAACCCATTTACTACATTAAATCCCAATGACATACTTTGCATGGGTATTTGAAATTGTCTCCTCGATTTGAATGCAAACCTGGTGAATTCTAGATGTAAGTATGTAACAAATTATTGTATTTATTCTTAGCTTGAGTAGGAAATAAATCGAAAACCTATAGCATAATAATATCCGATTTATTCAATGCCTTCCATTGGAACATGAAATGTTTAGCCAGAGTGAGGGCTTTCCTCCTTGAGTCTTCCCCAAAGATGACATGAGGAATTCAGAAGACCTATTGGAGAGTACTGTACAACAAACAACTCCGACCAAAGGGTACAAACCTACAATGGCAGTATAAGAATTCATCGCATTTCAACATACGTAGAGGTTCACTCTTATTGCAAGAAAACAAGAAAAATATGCACATTTTTATCTTTCTACACTACAGGAAAATATAGCGTGCTTATAATTTGATAGGATAGTCCCATATCATGCATGTAGGGAATTAAACAATCTTAGTTAAAAGTCTCAAAAAATCTATCATAAAGTATGAGTGGCTAAAGCCTGAAGAAAAGTTGGTTGCTAGAGGGAAGTTTATCGTTTCTCATTCAGAGAACAGACACACTTTAATGTTTGTAACACAATGCATGTTCAGAGACCACGCATCAAAGCTAGTCAGGTGGTTCACTCAGAATATTGCTTAGAATTCTACGTAAAAGAAAAAACTGAATATTTGCACAAAATAATTATAGAATGCAGAAGAACGATTTCATAAGATAAACTTTAATTTCATCAAACCTATCTCTACAATTTTCGATTAAATGCTTAGTCAATTTGAAGTATTCCAATGTCGTCATCAAAGCCATTTACTATATTAAATCCCAATGACATGCTTTGCATGGGTATTTGAAACTGTCTCCTCGATTTGAATGCAAACCTGGTGAATTCTAGATGTAAGTATGTAACAAATTATTGTATTTATTCTTAGCTTGAGTAGGAAATAAATCGAAAACCTATAGCATAATAATATCTGATTTATTCAATGCCTTCCATTGGAACATGAAATGTTTAGCCAGAGTGAGGGCTTTCCTCCTTGAGTCTTCCCCAAAGATGACATGAGGAATTCAGAAGACCTATTGGAGAGTACTGTACAACAAACAACTCCAACCAAAGGGTACAAACCTACAATGGCAGTATAAGAATTCATCGCATTTCAACATACGTAGATGTTCACTCTTATTGCAAGAAAACAAGAAAAATATGCACATTTTTATCTTTCTAAACTACAGGAAAATATAGCGTGCTTATAATTTGATAGGATAGTCCCATATCATGCATGTAGGGAATTAAACAATCTTAGTTAAAAGTCTCAAAAAATCTATCATAAAGTATGAGTGGCCAAAGCCTGAAGAAAAGTTGGTTGCTAGAGGGAAGTTTATCGTTTCTCATTCAGAGAACAGACACACTTTAATGTTTGTAACACAATGCATGTTCAGAGAGCACGCATCAGAATGAAATTAATCACATATCAAAACAATCTCAGATATTGATGATCACGAAGTATATATACACACGCATCAGAATAAGATAAGCATTTCTCGATTGACTTGCAGGTCCCATCTGATATTTCCTCCCAAGAGAAACAAGATGAGCCTGAGGTACCTTGCATAATTTCATTTCATGTCAGATTAATTTCTCCGCATGTTTGAATGTCTGTTTCAAGTCTTTAAAATCAGCCATCATTCTGTATGTTTCAGTTTACATACAACAAATTGATAGTATTATCTCTTTGCATGTCTTATCTTTGAACCCCTCGTTGAGGACATTTCTTTAAATGTAATGCCAAATAAACTTTTAAGTTTAAATTTTTTAAATAGACCCACATATAAATTATCTAATATATGAAGGCACCTCATGATTGTTTACAGCATTTGAAAAGATTGTATAGTATGTTTCTTATAATAATGTCCAGTCTTCTGCGTTAAGAGTAGTTTAGTGTGCAATGCAGTGAGGTTGTGGAAAATTGATCGCTAAAATATGTATGATGTTTATGGACAATCATGTTTAGTATGACTGCTGTTATATCCTACATTCCTATCTTCAGTTATGTTTAAATATTCTTGAACAGCGAAACTTTCTGTGAATTGGATGAGAAAATAGCTTAAATTTTACACCTTTTATTTTCTGTTGGACATTCTTCTGGTAACTAACTAATGTTAAGCATTCCCTTTTCCGTGGACTACCCTGCAGCCAAGGAGAATTGAGAGAAAAGCAAACCCAAAGCCTCAAAATACCATAATGTGTTTTTCTTAGGGGAAAAAAATATATTTTTAAAAAATCCCTACATGTTAAAAAATGTAGTCAAATTATTGCTAAGAGGACTACTGAACAGGTTTTCTCAAGTAATGGTTATTGGTTAAAGGGGCTCCTGTATTTCTGTCTGGAGTAGCTATTGCATTATTAAGAAGTCATGATATAAATATATTTAATAGAATTGATATAGCAATTAATTCATATCTTCAATCTATTGGTTACACAATTGATATTAGATTGATCAAAACAGAATTGATATAGCAATTAATTCATAATTTCCAGTCATCTAAGGGAAATCATTTGCACGTATCAACTAAATAAATAGAATCTATGGACCCCTAGAGTTTTCCCTGTGCTCAATGACCTATCTTACAAACTGGCATTCAATCACAGCCACAGCAGACCTAATTTATCCTACAGCTAAGTTCCAATATACAGACAAAATAGCTCCCATTTTTAGGGTGCTATCAACAATTTCATCGGAAGAAAAAAAGTAAAAAAATTAAAATTAAAATTGAGGAAAGGTATACCTGGCCTCTGGTGAGATTAGTGGTGACCTTAACCGGATTCAAGCGATTTTGCGCGGGAAAAGAAGACGAACGCTTCTTCTGAACCAAATCAGAATCATATTAAAAAATTAAAAAAATCACATGCGAAATCACAACCTGAAAAATAAAAGAATTCAAGTAAACTAAACTTACTTTATAGTCGCAATATAGGTGTTGTTCGTATATTTAAACGCTTGTCGCTTGAATCTGTAGAAAATCGAGAATTTGGGCAAAATTATTAGAACAAAATGAGAAGATTGAAAAACTAAAAGGGGATACGGTGAATTGAGCATAACTAAAGCTTAGATCTAGGGTTTAGTATAGAGGAGTGAAGACGAAGAAGAATGAATCCGCCGTTCATTAAAACTTAGGATCAGATATACCAACTCAATCAAGCTAGCGTATTCCTCTCCCGAATCCCAAATTAAAGTAGTTAATTTCCCAATTCGAACCAAAAAAAAAAACTGTAAATTCAATTCAAAGGTTGAGAAATAAGAAATTGCCTGACCTCAGCGGACGGCGAGGACTTGTTTGCCGCCGAGCAGTGAAAAGTTCGAGAAGAAAAGTCGGCTTCTTTCTTCGATTTTGGGGAGGGAGCTGGTATTTTGTGAGATTTAAGGGATCAAGTAGGCGTATCAAAATGACAATCTAAACCATGAGATTTAAGGGAATTCGGTTCCCGTCCATCTAATTGCTCAAGGTCAAGGAGAAGACCCAATTAATTACTTGAAATTAAGATGATCATCCATCCACTTGTGAAAGATTCCTGGTAGTGGTGGTCGTTCGTGTTCAGCATTAATTTCCACCTCACTAAATGGCCTATTTACGTACCTGTCCTCCCGAGTAACATAAACCAATGGAATCCGTCTATATTATCAAATACACAACATGAGCAGAGCCTCCAGCTTCACAGATCAATACGACCCGGCCTCCTGCAAGTTGACTAAGAAATTGCCTGTAAATTCAATTCGAACAAAAAAAAACCTGTAAATTCAATTCAAAGGTTGAGAAATAAGAAATTGCCTGACCTCAGCGGACGGCGAGGACTTGTTCGCCGCCGAGCAGTGAACAGTTCGAGAAGAAAAGTCGGCTTCTTTCTTCGATTTTGGGGAGGGAGCTGGTATTTTGTGAGTACGGATCGAATTATTAGGGTTAGGAAATGAGGAGATAAGGAGATTTGAGGATGAGATAATGCAGTCATGGCTGTTGAGTGAGTGGAAGTTCGTGGGACGGCGAGAAGATTAACAGATGAACTCTTCGGCTTCAGCGGAGAGGAAGGCGCTTAGGTAACGGATGATCTCAAAGGCAAACCACAGATTAGAAACTGAAATTCTTTGATAGAAATTTTGTGTAACTGAAAGAGGAATAAGGAGACCTCAAAAAAAAATTTTTTTATGATACGCAGTCATGCCCATAGTGCGTATCATAACAAATTCACGATTTTTCATAGAAATCTGTAGAGACCTCAAATTTTTTTTTTTTTGATCAGGTCTTCGCACTTTGGTCAATGTTAGGGTTAAGAGGTTAACCAGAGGGTGGGCCTGGTTAAATTTTGCAAGCAACGTCCCACTCCAGTGAGCTTCTCAACCTCCCAAGAGGGTAAAACCAAAAAGGGCATTTACGTGAATTATATTTAAGAAGCAGTTTATACTCGTATACTTTTCGGAGTATTTAAGAAGCAGTTTATACTCGTATACTTTTCGGAGTATTTAAGAAGCAGTTTATACTCGTATACTTTTCGGAGTATTTAAGAAGCAGTTTATACTCGTATACTTTTCGGAGTATTTAAGAAGCAGTTTATACTCGTATACTTTTCGGAGTGTTAAGAAGCAGTTTATACTCGTATACTTTTCGGAGTGTTAAGAAGCAGTTTATACTCGTATACTTTTCGGAGTATTTAAGAAGCAGTTTATACTCGTATACTTTTCGGAGTATTTAAGAAGCAGTTTATACTCGTATACTTTTCGGAGTATTTAAGAAGCAGTTTATACTCGTATACTTTTCGGAGTAGTGATTCTTTCGTTGCAACGCATTGATTGGTGTTGACCTAGGGTTACGCGTTGACCGGCGTTAACCCTAGGGTTTTGAATGTCGTACATTGAATTTTTGATCGCAACGCGTTGACTGGCGTTGACCTAGGGTTACGCGTTGACCGGCGTTGTCCCTAGGGTTTCAAACGTAGTACGTTGAATTTTTGCTCGCAACGCATTGACTGGCGTTGACCTAGGGTTACGCGTTGTCCGGCGTTGACCTTAGGGTTTCGAACGTCGTTGGATGCTCAAGTCACAAGACCAACTAATGGAGCTGATGCGTCAGTGACTTTCGTATTTATAGGATTTTTGGCAAATCCTCAGCCATCAACGGGTTTGATGCGCCTTTACCGACTACCGTTTGAGTCGGGCTAGCATGCGGATTGTTCAAGTCCGTTCCGCATGTGACGTTAAGCTAAAAGAGTTAACCCTTTTAGTGCTACGATATTGAATACGTAGACTTCGTCTTTCTCACGGGAATAGACTACCCGGCGACGCGTGTTAGGCGTTGACTTTAGGGTTTTTGGCTAACCCCCAGCCTTCAACGGGTTTGATAAGCCTTTACCGACTACCGTTTGAGTCGGGCTAGCATGCGGATTGTCTAAATCCGTTCCGCATGTAACGTTGTGCTAAGAGAGTGAATTCTCTGAGACTTTGTGCTATGATGTTGAATACATAGGCTTCGCCATTGTTACGGGAATAGGCTACCCGGCAACGTGTATTAGACGTTGACTTATCCCTACTTAGGCTTCGGGATGAGATACCCCAGAATCGAACTCTGGTGTCTTTTTCAATCGGTAAAAGACTAAACCGGCGACGCGTGTTAGGCGTCGGCATATCCTTTCTTAGGATTCAGGATGAAATTCCCCATGCGTGTAAGGCATGGATTTTGGTGTTATTAATAACAACCTGTCACAATGTTGAATATGTGAACGGGTGTTCTTTTTAACGGTTAAGAACTAACCGGCAGCGCGGGTTAAGCGCAGACTTATCCTTGCTTAGGTTTCAGGATAGAATACCCCAGAATCGAACCCTGGTGTCTTTTTGTACGGAAAAAGACTAAACCGGCAGCGCGTGTTAGGCGCAGACTTATCCCTGCTTAGGATTCGGGATAAACTTCCTAGGATGAATCCTGAATTCTTCGAAAAGGATTGGTATGGGGAAGGAAGAATTTTATATTCTATTCCCCGAACAAAGAAGGAAAGGAGAGGCTTTCAAACTGGTAATTAAGACGATGTTGTAATTTGCAAATATATAGTTTCCCACAAGAAAGAAAATAAACAATTGAAGAAAAATTATGGCATCCAACAAGTAAATTGTGGCGATTAATGGAGGCATCAGAATGAATGTGAGAACCAGTTGAGGTGAATAACCTCGAATTCTAAGAGAAAAGGTAGTTCAGCAACCTCAAAAACAAATACATTTGATGATAATAGTACTGCAAGCAACAATCAAACGAGAACCAGCATGAGCAACCGTAGACATAACTTTATAGTTGAGATTACAAACGCAAAGCAGTAGGTTAACAACTACACAGACTAATGAATCTTATAACTTTAACAAATTGATCGCAGTTCTCAATGATCTTATATCATGTGCTATTTACTAAGTAGAGGTGTCCTCAACACAAATGATATTAGCAAAAGATTTGAATAATATGCAAAAGCCACGATGGAGAGCCAAAAGCTTGACATACTTCAATGCTTGCGGTATGAGATCATTCCATGAACAGTGACTAAGGCAACTAATAGGCTATCTATAGTATGCAAGCCTATATATATTCATTGTGTGGGGCTACAAAAAAATTAATAGCAAACCTCCAAGTTTAAAGGAGATGGAAGCACATGGGAAACTTGAAATGCACAAATAACCAAAACCAAGGAAAGAAACAACAATCCATAAGAAGCCTTCAAGCTTTCTAATTATAAATCATACAAATGGTTGATTACACTTTCAATTCATGATGCAAGCCCTTTTGTAGCTGTAATAACATAACAACAAGGCACCTTGATTTTCTGCATATTTAGCTAATGAATAGATGAATGCATATAATTAAACAGATACAGCATCACCTAACTAAACCTTCACAAGAATAGGCAAGTTCAAAGATTAATTACAGGTAAAACAACACATAGGAGAGACACCAAGCTCAGTCAATAATAGAGTAGATTCACTGCTCATCTAACCCGTAATGCATTTTCGCAAAACAATACAAATTAAGCAAGGATATGAATATTAAATTCATGGACGGTGTTAATTAACTCTTCTTATCGTGTTTTTATTCTTGATTTGTCTTGTAAACAACAGGTACAAAAAATATAAATAAACATACAACAACAGCGATGGACTCCAATAATGATGAAAAAGATTTTTTGAGAACCTTGGAGAAAAGGAAAGCCGGGATGGAATAGCAAAATTAAATTTCTATACTAGATAACAAAAGCGATTAGTAAACATAACTACAGTCAAAATACGACGTGGGTCCCCTGAGTGAGGGGTGAAGAGCTGGGTGTGACAGCAAGCGGGTGAGTTTCTGTGCTCATAAGCTTATGTAACTGTGAAGTGTTACGTGCTTGCCATGGCATTGTGCTTAAAAGAACTGCCGACCAGAGTTTTCTTGTGAGTGTGGTTTTGGGATCCGACCTCCAACTAAAGCCCTTGGTGTGTTCTCTCACGACACTATCAATATTGCCTTTAACTTATCATTTCTAAATTTATTATTCGAGCCTTTTCTAACATGACCAGATTATTATTACTAATAAAAAAGACATTGTAGAAGTGGACAGAGTTGTTTAATAGGTTTGATTTGGCCTCTTCACTTGTTACCAATTTTCTATCGCTTTGACCAATCGAAACCCAAATCGTAACACAACCTTGTCGGGGATATATTCTAAAGGAGCTAAGTCTGTATTAATCAACCTTGATAACTACATATTCTTGTTATACAAGTGATCATTAAGATAAACCTCGCGGTCACATCGCGAGTAATTCAAACAATAATGCCCCAAGCGACGATTTTCCACAAGGTCGCAAACTCAATACTATATAACTATTTCCCAAAACCACTGATACCATATACGTTCACACAACCGATGTGGGACTATTCACTTCTGCAGTTCTAGAGCTTGTTGGAAAGAATGAGGATGGGAGGAGGTTGAATTGAATGAAAGAAAGAGTTTGATAAGTTGAAGGGAAGTAGAAGAAGAAGAAAGGAAATGGTGGGGGCAATGGGGGCAGTTAGGACAGTGTACAGTCACCAAGCATGTGGACAGCACATGGAGATGCCTTTCCATGTAATCCAATAGAAAAGAGGAAAGAGAAGAGTGACAAACTTTACTACCACTTTTGTTACGCTCGCCCTTTTTAATCAAAATAAGAAAACCCCATGTCAAGAATCACACCATAAAGTGGTAGTGGTTCAATGCATTACATATTAGCTTACTTGTGTACTATAATCCTATATATACACATACATAAAGCAAAGCAACCAAAAGGTTGTCTGATTTTGCAAAAGACAGTTGCAATTACAATTGCGCTGTTTGTTTCAGTATATAGCTATAACCTATTTACAATTAATCACTTTTTTGTAAAATTAGGCAAAGGTCAATTTTGCATAAAAAGAAAAAAGAAAAAGGGTTAATTGCTGCGTAGTTCCCTGTAATATCGTTGTTTTGGACTTACGACACTGTAGTGTCATTGTTGTAGATAGATCCGGGTTAAATTTTTTTGACTCTCCTTCCCTCAGACTCAGGTAGACTCACTAATTTCACCCAAAGGCAATCTTTATATAATTTCGACTAGAGTAGAAGAGTCTCCAAAAAAAAAATTACCCTAGGGGTTTATCTGCAACAATAAAACTACAGCGTTAGTAAGTTCAAAACAGCGGTACTACAAGGGGTTTATGTACAATTAACCCAAAAAGTGATCCTTATTTTGCGACTACAGTTTTCAGCGAAACAAATGGCGAACACTAGAACTAATGTTTTGCAAATTGCAACTACAATTACAATTGTAATTTTCCGCACACCAAACAGCTTGTAATTATTGTTTTTTTTTCTTCATGTTTAAGGAAGCTTAAGTTGATGTCATTTTACTTGCTACCGAACAATTGCAACAGAAATGTCAGAGCAAGTAATATGAATAATGCATTCTACTATGTGAATGAGATCACGTGTGTTTGTTGAAGGTTGTTGCCAGAGCATCAGCCAGCTGAAGCCCCCTGTCACTCAGCATGGGATATATTGATACTTCTTCTAGAGAGACTTGTACCTCTTTCACCATTGCTTAAGCAATGTTGATAAACAATATTAAACTATTGCAAATAAATAAAAAATGATACAAATGGAGGAAGACAACAAGAACTTCAACAGGGAACTACAACAAGAATTTCAACAGAGAACCAAGTTGTAATACATAAATGTTGCATCAAAACACTTAACACCACTAACTTAATGATGCAGCATATATGACCTAAATCCTCAAAAAGTAGAGAAATAGTGAATCATTCAGTCCCTTTTTGGTAATCAATTAGTCTGCTTCACAAAGAACTTAGCTTCAGTCAATTTCAGCCAAACAGCTTAAAGAATTATTAAATTGCAAATTACTATAAGGAAGTAATGAACATCATAACTGCAAAGTAAGACTACTCGGAAAAAAACATGCAACCTTGGGGTGCTATTGATTTCCCCAAACAGATACATAGATAATTTAAGATGGAATGGGGGATGAATAAACACAAATTTTAAAATCAAAACATGCTTAAAAATGTCATAAGCTAGAGGCTTGTAGTTGATCATGATGCAATGCAGAACAGTGATTGAAGGATAAATGTCACATACGCTAAATTATTCTATGACGAGATAAAGAGTGTCAAAATAACGGTACCAAACTGACACCCTCTCAACTCATGTAGGAAGCTAGGAACCAAGAAGCCAATAGAGTCGCTCTTGAGGTATACAGCACCTTTTGGTTTGCTTGATATTCATGTCCTTCAACCAACTCAAGAAGCACTTGATGGTGATGTTTTTGGTGGTGCTGGTGGTTCAGCACAAGCCCTCAGCACGGCCTCATTCTGCAGCAGGATTTTGAATTAAGAACTCAAATGAAGAACAATGATAAAGAAAAACAGTGAGGCCAATTGATTAAGAGACAGCTACTCCATATTAATGACAAGTCATGAACGTATATATAGCTGATGTATTTATTCGATCAAAATCACAAGAGTAAATATACCAGAGCTAAAGATCTGCATGCAAAATACATCTCTAAATTTGAGAAAGTAGCATAGCATATGGTACTAAATTTGAGAACAAATGCACAGCATGATAATTGAAGAATATATTGTGTGACATCAACATGACAGAAATAGAAAGAAACTAGCAATTACAACTAATTCCAGGATGTTATAATAAAATAAGAAAAACAATTCTTGTAATGTCTAAGGCTTTATTTGTGCTTGTTCAATTAGTTAAAGAAGCTTCAATTGTTGTCCCAGCTAATTCATTCAGCTTACTGCATAAGCCTCAGCTCAGCCTTGGGCATATATACAATCCCAGACGATTAGTAGCAAATACATTTTAAGAATATGTGCCAAAAAATGGATAAGCAAAAGAGAAAAACGATGAGCAGACGAACAATGAAAGTGAGCATCAAATCTTATTCTGACACTATCGCAAGTTACTATGTAATATACTATAGTATGTTGGGTAAATTTTATTTGAGTTAGCGAGTGGCTCTAGAAAATAATTAAGTTACTTTAGGAATATAAAAAAGAAATTAAGTAAGTATTTGACTGGAAAGCAGTATGAACCGCAATTGAACTCACTTGAAACTAGGATATGAAAATATTCTCAACTTAATTAGCATACCCTCAACAGCTGAATTAAACCTGAGAAAAGCACATATAAAGTATTAACGAGTCAAGGATGAATATAAACTGGTCCCTGCTATGCTTCATCCTATATGTTTACTTTAGCAAGCAGACTTTTGTTTCAAGCTCAGCTCATTTAGGTTATCAGAAGATCTAGAAAATTACAGTACAAAGAAATTTGAAACACTATTAACTAACTTGAATTTAGGACCCAGAAAAATTCCCAACTTACCGAGCTTCGGTAGCTGAACCTGAACATCTACTGAGACCATATGAAGTTATGAACCATTAACGAGCTGAGCACAAACAAAAGTTAAGATGACTCATCTATGCTCAACCTTGTGCATTCAGTTCACTTTATTAATCTTAGACCCACGTTCAACCTTAGGTTAGTTATGTCATGGAACAACTCTAAACAAAGTTTTGAGACCATCTTTAGCTGATTCTTGAGCTTGATGAGCCTATCAGCAGCTCTAGGAGGTATACATGACGAACACAAACTTAATGTCAGAAGAAGCAAAAAAGAAGGTCCTTAGAAACGATCGTGCCTAAGGTATATATGCCTGACATAATAAATGTAATGGCTGGACTATGGAGAAACAATAGAAAAGCATTTTAGAAGCAGGCGAACATGAACAAGATAAATGTAGCAAACAATTTGTATATAGGCTCTTTTGAACAATAAAAAATGGCTAAAACTGTGAAGGAGTAAGAGACCTTTAGAAGGAATGTATACTTCCCCTTAGAAGTTTAGTAACACCTTTTATAACAGATTAGCAAGCATGCACAAATGACTCAGAATCTAAGTTGCACGGAAACGGGCACCAGTATAGGTATGGGTGTGGGTATGGATACCAGACACAACATATTTTTACAATGTAGGGTACGGAGACATGGCTACATATACGTATTGGAAGTAGTAATTTACATGATATTCGTTATTGTTATCAATTCATAAGTCATTAGAATTAAAATTCCTATAACATTTGCTCAGCTCATTTAGGTTATCGGAAGATCTAGAAAATTAGAGTAAAATGGAATTTGAAACGCTATTAACTAACTTGAATTTAGGACCCAGAAAAATTCCCAACTTACTGAGCTTCGGTAGCTGAACCTGAACATCAACTGAGACCATATGAACCATTAACGAGCTGAGCACAAGCAAAAGTTAAGATGACTCATCTATGCTCAACCTTGTGCATTCAGTTCACTTTATTAATCTTAGACCCACGTTCAAGCTTAGGTTAGTTATGTCATGGAACAACTCTAAACAAAGTTTTGAGGCCATCTTTAGCTGATTCTTGAGCTTGATGAGCCTATCAGCAGCTCTAGGAGGTATACATGATGAACACAAACTTAATGTCAGAAGAAGCAAAAAAGAAGGTCCTTAGAAACGATCGTGCCTAAGGTATATATGCCTGACATAATAAATGTAATGGCTGGACTATGGAGAAACGATAGAAAAGCATTTTAGAAGCAAAGAAAAACAGTGAGGCCAATTGATTAAGAGACAGCTACTCCATATTAATGACAAGTCATGAACGTATATATAGCTGATGTATTTATTCGATCAAAATCACAAGAGTAAATATACCAGAGCTAAAGATCTGCATGCAAAATACATCTCTAAATTTGAGAAAGTAGCATAGCATATGGTACTAAATTTGAGAACAAATGCACAGCATGATAATTGAAGAATATATTGTGTGACATCAACATGACAGAAATAGAAAGAAACTAGCAATTACAACTAATTCCAGGATGTTATAATAAAATAAGAAAAACAATTCTTGTAATGTCTAAGGCTTTATTTGTGCTTGTTCAATTAGTTAAAGAAGCTTCAATTGTTGTCCCAGCTAATTCATTCAGCTTACTGCATAAGCCTCAGCTCAGCCTTGGGCATATATACAATCCCAGACGATTAGTAGCAAATACATTTTAAGAATATGTGCCAAAAAATGGATAAGCAAAAGAGAAAAACGATGAGCAGACGAACAATGAAAGTGAGCATCAAATCTTATTCTGACACTATCGCAAGTTACTATGTAATATACTATAGTATGTTGGGTAAATTTTATTTGAGTTAGCGAGTGGCTCTAGAAAATAATTAAGTTACTTTAGGAATATAAAAAAGAAATTAAGTAAGTATTTGACTGGAAAGCAGTATGAACCGCAATTGAACTCACTTGAAACTAGGATATGAAAATATTCTCAACTTAATTAGCATACCCTCAACAGCTGAATTAAACCTGAGAAAAGCACATATAAAGTATTAACGAGTCAAGGATGAATATAAACTGGTCCCTGCTATGCTTCATCCTATATGTTTACTTTAGCAAGCAGACTTTTGTTTCAAGCTCAGCTCATTTAGGTTATCAGAAGATCTAGAAAATTACAGTACAAAGAAATTTGAAACACTATTAACTAACTTGAATTTAGGACCCAGAAAAATTCCCAACTTACTGAGCTTCGGTAGCTGAACCTGAACATCAACTGAGACCATATGAACCATTAACGAGCTGAGCACAAGCAAAAGTTAAGATGACTCATCTATGCTCAACCTTGTGCATTCAGTTCACTTTATTAATCTTAGACCCACGTTCAAGCTTAGGTTAGTTATGTCATGGAACAACTCTAAACAAAGTTTTGAGGCCATCTTTAGCTGATTCTTGAGCTTGATGAGCCTATCAGCAGCTCTAGGAGGTATACATGATGAACACAAACTTAATGTCAGAAGAAGCAAAAAAGAAGGTCCTTAGAAACGATCGTGCCTAAGGTATATATGCCTGACATAATAAATGTAATGGCTGGACTCTGGCGAAACGATAGAAAAGCATTTTAGAAGTAGGCGAACAGGAACAAGATAAATGTAGCAAACATTTGTATATAGGTTCTTTTGAACAATTAAAAATGGCTAAAACTGTGAAGGAGTAAGAGACCTTTAGGAGGATCGTATACTCCCCCTTAGAAGTTTAGTAACACCTTTTATAACAGATTAGCAAGCATGCACAAATGACTCAGAACCTAAGTTGCACGGAAACGGGCACCGGTATGGGTATGGGTGTGGGTATGGATACCAGACACAACATATTTTTACAATGTAGGGAACGGAGAAATGGCTACATATATGTATTGGAAGTAGTAATTTACATGATATTAATTATTGTTTTCAATTCAGAAGTCATTAGAATTAAAATTCCTATAACATTTTTTAAATTTCTTTAACTATGTTTATTATTATAAACTGGAAAGTGGTCGTTTTTGAACTATACAAGGACTCTAAGACCCTTTAATTGTACTTTTGAACTTGGGCATAGGCTGAAACAAACCTAACCTGTGTCTACGGAATATTGAAGAAATGGTCGTGAAGTGTAGGATATATATTCAAGAAGTGTATGGAAAGTATTTTAAATTAAAACATATATAGTATATACTATAATTGAGTACATGTTTGAATAAATGTATGCATATATCCAAGGAGTGCCATGAGGTTTAGGTACGGGAACGTGTTAGCTATGTGTCTGGTACGACTTACGAGTATAGCTTCATGATAGAAGTATCAAGGTAACATAACTCAGAAAGCAGCCAAGAAAAAGCCACAGCAGTAATGTAGGGTCCCAGATCTCGCCCTGAGGATGTTTGCGCTTTAGATAGAAAAAAATCATATTAGTATTGGGGTATATCCCTAAAATTCCTAGAAAACTAGAGGTTTATGAATCGTGGGATTCAATATCTCCAATAGACTACAGAATAATGTTGCATCAATTTACTGTAGCACGAATAGTGATTATTGGGTCCTCCCATTATTATAGAGGAATAGATATAAGCTTAAGTTTCTTGTAAGAAAATGAATATTCTATTCAAATTCACTAGATGAGAATTTAATTGAAGAGGAAGATTCCTGAATTGAAAATAACATTAACATAGGAGGTGGCAGATTTGGGGGGTGATAACGAGTAAACATCAACTTATGATATTGTGTGTGGACTTAAAATCCTTTGATTTACAGCCAGAACTTGGTGATTGTTTCACTATATCATTCTGTTCACATGTCACACTTTGAACTTAAAATTAAAACTTCCTTGCTTAAACTTTATTGTTTATGTGGTTGATTTTATGACACGAGTTACACTATATTTTTGCCTTCCATATCGTGAATAACTTTATGAGATGTCGAAGTGTGAACTCTTGGTTTTTAGATAACCGATAAGTTTTTTCTACTAGATAATATATTAATTTGGTTTGCCTTTATGACTGTAATTGTGACTTGTATAGTTGTATTTTATAATTCCTGCAACTTGTGTTAATCATGTGGCACGTGCACTTTACCTTTTAGCATCATTCATCAATCTTATGGTGAAATAGGTTATTAAGAACATGTTATATTTACTCACACGTCATATATAATTTGTACTGATCTTTTTTAAAAAAAAATTGCTGATGTATTACCCATTTTGGTGCCTTTTGACCCAGATGACATACAACCTTGTTGCTTTGCATTGAAATTTTCTTTAAAATTTGTTCTAGTCCAACTTGAGCATATGCACCTTCTAATACTCGTGGATTTTGTTCATTTTAAGCGGGCATCAAACTCCTATCAGAATATATGTTTTGCAATAGTTTTAATCCTTAGATTAATGGACTTAAGGTTAATTTTGATCAACAGATCTAATCTTAGCCTTTCAGATATAAAGAACATATTAATAAATTCTCTTCCACTACATGAATAAAATTCTTCAAATATTTTTTGGTATTCTCATATCCGCTTTGTGTTGGCATGTATATCCGTGTATATATTCGCATGTATGTTTGTATATATATTCGATTTTAACAGATAGGAATATAAGTTTTCCTTAGTGAGGCAAATATGTATATTTATCTGTATTTGTGGTTAGTAAGCGGCTATGGACACGATATTTAAATGTTAGTCCCTCAAATCTTCAATGATTTGATATTCATCCCTCAAATCTATGAATTGCTCATGAGTCCCTCAAATCTTAAGGATCTTGCAATTTGGTCCATCAATGACCAAAACACCCCCCCCCCACACCCTCCAACTTGAATATCCTAAATCCATAAACCTAACTCCCACTGCAGCCCCATACTCACCTGCCTTTGACCACCCCATCATCAGCCTCCTCTCTCTGCTGACCTTCTATGGTCTTGCTCAGGATTAATAAAAGTTTTTGTTTTTTTTTTTCCTCTTGCTACATCTTTTTTGAAGATGGGCAATAGGGAGAGGGGTTGAAATTGGAGAATGATGATAGGATTGATGATGAGGTATGGTCAAGTAGCCAAATGAGTAGGGGGCATGTGCAGGAGTTTCAGGTTCAGCGGATTTAGAGGATAGATATTGAGAAAAAGAGAGGATATTTTGGTTTTTGAGACTAGCCAATTGTGAGAATTTAAGATTTGAGAACTCATAACGAAGTTTAGATTGAGGAACTAATGTAGGATTATTAAGGTTTGGAGGGACTAATATCTAAAACCTATAATTCTATACACCGTTCGGTACTGCTCAAGGAGCCTGATGCAATAATGTGTAACTTAGAATTCCTTAGGTTCCTATCTCTAAGTCGTAAGAAAAAGGCTGTTCAAGTGTAATAAAATTGCAGGTGTAGGGTTCTTAATAAATGAATTCATCTTCATTCCAGCGGCAAGCCTCTTCGAGAAACTCATTACTGGTTAATTTACATTCTATGTATAATTGAGTTGGCTAATCATAGCTAATGCTCCTGACATAGATTGAGATGCTATAAAACTTTCTTGATTTAGCCCAATTGGGTTTCAATGGGTAGTATATGCAGTGGAGGTGACCCGATTAGAGTTCGCACGGATAATTTCTAATTTTTTGGATTGATGTAATATCAGTTAGGCTGTTTTCCAAGTATTCTCACCTAGTTACTGATGTCTAACTTCATTGACGGTATGTGTTAAGGAGCAAGCTAACCGTTGAATTGTTTTTCACCAGTAAAGAAGGGCACTAGTTAATTTTTTGAATAACCCACTAGTTGCGTCCATCTTTTCTATGTTGTGTTTTCTATTAATTATATTTTAAATTCAATTTATTGTTCGTCATACATTCGTATTTATGCTTCATTTATTATCCCGGTGTTAGTGATTACCTGCATCGTTTTCATGGAATTGGACTCAGAGTTTTGTATGAGAAATCAAATTGGTCGCGAATTAGTTTGAGAAAGGAGTATGAAGAATCTTTATTTTGCCCATATTACGCCTTTTGTTTAAAAATAATAAGTTTTTCGCGGAGCAGCTAAAGCAAAGCTCTATTTATATCCAAGCGCGGAGTATAACAGGGTTTGCACCGCGCAGTCCCCCAGAGCTGCATATATATATATTAATATATATAGTATATATAATATATATATATATTATATATATATATATATATAAATTTGGTTTGTTCTTCATGATTTAAATTGTGATTAATAATTCATGCATAGTGTGTTAATCCTGTGATGTGTCATGTGCTTTATTTTTCAGCATCATTCATCTACCTTGTGGTGGAAAAAGGTTATCATGCATCATGTTCTCTATGCGCTGCCCAAACCAAATTCACATGTGAGCTGCATTATGCATCATGTTCTCTATGCGCTGCCCACAACTAATTTGTTTCTACCCCTATAATGCGATTCCTTTTTCCATGCATCATGTTCTCTATGCGCTGCCCACAACTAATTTGTTTCTACCCCTATAATGCGATTCCTTTTTCCTTTCTTCGGTACAAAAGCATATAGAGGACAACTAATTTGTTTCTACCCCTATAATGCGATTCCTTTTTCCTTTCTTCGGTACAAAAGCATATAGAGGCTAAATTTTAGTTCTGTGCCCTCTCGATCGGCTTGGGGGAAGGGAAAAAAAAAGGAAAACTACTATTTTTAAGGCCTAAACCAGACCCTAAACCCAATTTCACAAACTGAACCAGGAAAGACAAAAATTTGCATCGAATTGAAGCGTTTCTAACCCTAGAATTGGGACTGATACCTGCCAGACTCGGCGGAGGCGCTTCTTGGCGTTGGCCTTGCGGGTGGTGGTGAGCTTGATCTTCTTCCATAGAAGCCCAGGGGAGTTGTTCCTCCTCACGATCTCCATTGCTCGAGTCCCCCAAAATGCCCCAAAACCCATTCTCTCTCTCTCTCTCTCTCTCTCTCTCTGTAGGGTTTAAGATTTTGAGACGCGCCTTCGTTAGATCGCCGGGCTGGACTCAAAAGGATAAAGTTTCACTAAGGCCCCCGTTAAGTTTAAGACTATCTCACATAACCGCTAACATTTGCCCTATTTGCTTATATATATTATCATGTGAGGAGGAGCAAGCGGACAGAGTTGTTTAAGAGGTTACCTTTATTTTCTACTATTTCCCCCTTTTTTCAATAGGCCGTCGTTATTTGGGTTTGATGTGCAGAGGAGAGAGATGGATTTTGGAATAGTTTGAGGAAGAAAAACAAAACCAATGTATTTTAGAGAAAAAGTTAGAAGTTCAATGGATTTTAGAAGTTTTTTTTTTACAACAGCAAGGGGCATACTGTTGTAAAAAATAAGCTAAAATGTCAACTTGGTTTCTGTAATAGGGTTTCATGTTCAAATTGGTGCTCGTACTTTATTTTTTTCTCAGCTTAGGTCTTTGCACAGGAGTTCCATACTCCAATTGGTCTCCCTATTGTATTTTTTTTCTAAACATAATCTCTGTATCGGGGATTCATACTCAAATTGGTCCCCGTACTTTATTTTAATTTTCAACGTTTTGCAACAAACTCCTAATAACTTTCTATATATCACTAAATCCTCCATGAACTTTAAAAAAAATCAACCTACACCCCCCATATAGCTTTCAAAATCTTAACCCCCAGTGACTTCCAAATCACATCAAACCCCCAATAAATTTTAGAATTGCAGAAAATCCCAAATAAGATTCCAAATTTTTGCAAGTAACCACGGTATATAAGAACAAAAAATAACATAAAAAGGCATTTTGAAGGATAATTTCAGCAACAGAAAAAAATTAATTAGAATTTGTGATCCTAAGATGAGCGAACAATAGCAAAATCAATAAAAAAAATGAAAGGTTTCTATTTCTAGGATTGCAACTATAAAAAGGTCATAAATGAGTTTTTAATAATTTAAGGAGTATTTTGGTTCTTTTTAAGTCACATGGGTTGCATGTGCCACATCAGATGTAACCATGTTAACTTTGAGAATTTTTTTGCAAAAGTTAGTGGGGGATTTTAGTGTGAATTGGAAGTTATTAGGGGTTTCGTGTGATTTTGAAAGTTATTAGGGGTTTACTGTGATTTTTTAAAGACGTTATTGGGGATTTAGTGTAATGTTGAAAGTTATTTGGGAGTTAACTACAAAACGCTAAAAGTTAAAATAAAGTAGGGGCAATTGAGTATGAAGCCCCCATAGGGACACAACGTAGGGAAAAAATAAAGTAGGGGCCAATTTGAGGATAAAATACTAGTACAAGGATCAAATTGAGAAAAATACAATAAGGCCCATTTTGAGTTTGATGCCCCAATACCTGGACCAAGTTGGATTTTTAGCCAAGAAATAGGTTAGTAGTTTTCTAATAAATTGGTAAACTTGAAGGTCTTTAAGAATAATTACTCTTGAGGCGTATAGCTTTTTTTTTTAACAAATGGAGGACTTATTAACTCGCCTGCTTAAATAGATGGATTAGTAAACCCCTCAATTCGAAAGTTAACTTATTTTAAGCTTCTCTAGCTGGTTTTCTCAATCCTTTTATAATTTTGGTGTTGGACAAATTCTGATGCTTTTATTCAAATTATCTCTTATGTTGAATTTTTATGTTTGTCAGGGTTTCGAAGGTGATAACCATGGATATAGTTAAAGCTGATCGACTAAACTACGTTAAATATTCTGTGTTCTTCTCGATTATGGTTGTTTATGTGATTATGGACTAGTTTCCGGATTGCGGAGGTTGTAGGGAACTAAAATCCCCAACATTTCTTTAGCTTTAACTATGTATATTCCATCAAATCTAAATATATTACAAGAGTTATAATTCGGAATAACAAATGATGGCTGTGTAATTGCTGAATATTTAAATTTTTCGATCGAAAAGAAATATTGTGACGAAACCTGAATGAGCTCCATGAGGAAGTGTACGTCCTTGGCGTAGAGTTCCTCTGAGAGATAGTTGACGGCCTGGTGCATGTCTTCGGCCAGCGGATTCTTCTGCTCTCGACCAATGAAGAATCTGTCTCTTCTTATGCTTTCTATATGTTCACGGGCTTTCTCCATCTTTAAAAACTAAAGAAACAAAAATCCTCAAGAATCAGGAGAAAATTTTTGAAGAAGTATGTGGTTGCTTTTGCATTGTGATGTTATGCTAAAATCCTATTTTAGCAATAGAAGTCAGATAAGTTTAAAATGGATCAGGTTAATTAGTCTTAACAACAAAATCCAACAAAAACTTAGGGTTAAAAGTTCAAAAATTAGCATGTGAGTACCACATGAGAATTTACGGATGAAAATTTCCGCGTTTGCACAATGAGGGTACATATTCAAGTGCAAATTTTGAAAACTTTAGGATGTATAAGTGCCGCTAAAAACAAGTCAGGGTATATAAGTGCAAAGTAGAGCAAACTATGAGGTATTTAGTATTTACATGCACTCAAGTCTTCAAACAATAATAACTATTTACTATCTTCTTCAAGACAGCAAAATAGAACATAGCAAAAAGATCAATTGAGGTCACTTCAATATGCTGATGACACTTTGCTTTTTGTCAAGAGCAATTCACATAACATATATATTCTCAAAACAATCTTGTTTATTTTTGAGGAGACATCTGGCCTTGGCATCAATTACTCCAAATCTTCTTTGATTTATTTTGGCAATATCCAAAACAGAGGCATTTCATTAGCTGCCAAGCTCAATTGTAAAGTGGAAAAACTCCCTATTAAATACCTTGGTTTACCCCTGAAATATGGAAAATTATTGAAGACTGATTGGCAACCTCTACTGGACACCATGCAGAAGAAACTTTCCACATGGAAAAAAAAGTTGTTTATCATTTGGTGGAAGACTGGTTCTACTAAACTCAGTTCTCTCTTCAATTCCGTTATATTTCATGTCTTTCTACAAATTGCCTACTTGGTTAATCAAAGATATAGATAAGATTAGAAAGAACTTTCTCTGGAATGGAATTGCAGACTCCAATGCTTTCAAATGTAAGGTAAACTGGAAAAGAGTATGTATGAGTAAATCTGAGGGTGGCTTAGGAGTTAAAGATCTGAGTATCTTTAATTCTTCTCTTCTAGCTAAATGGCTTTGGCATTGTTTGGACATCAATTCTACTACTGGCTCCTATCTTAGACAGCTTTATTGTAACAGGAATCTGAACATTCAGTCTTTGAGGTCAAATACTTCATATTCATCCTTTTGGAATGCAATCATATCTCATAATGATGGTTTTTTCCAACAAATTATATGGAAGCTAGGCTCTGGTAACAAAATAAGAATTTGGGAAGATAAATGGCTTGGAGTTAACTCCTTAGCCAGTTTATATCCCTCACTATATAACCTGGCATTTTCTATAAATGTTCCCATAAGTAGCCAGAAACATTTTCAAGCTAATGAATGGCATTGGCATGTTTTGCTTAAGAGAAGCTTAAATCAAGCATCACATTTTGATAAAATGCAGCTCATGAACAACATTGGAGCTTTTTATGTCAATAATCAACATGATCAGGCAAAGTGGTCTCTCACTTCTACATGGGTATTCTCAGTCAAATCCTTATACATATTTCTCAATTCCAGAGGCATTCAATCTCCTATTTACAAAGGCATATGGAATCCCCTACTACCGAGCAAGGTCCAGTTTTTACTTGGTTATTGTTCAATAACAAATTGCACACTAAGGATGTTCTAATTCTAAAAGGCTGGCAAGGTGATACATTATGCAGCTTTTGTGGTTTGGAAGATGAATGTCGAGAACATCTTTTCTTTTCATGCCCTTTATCATTGCAAATATGGAGACATTTTCAAAAGTATGAGTTATATTTTCAATGGCCACATACTTTCATGGAGCTTCTACATTCTGTAGAACATTTAAAAGGCATGCATGGACATATCTGACGTCTGATTTTTTCTGCTACATGCTGGAACATATGGATTTCAAGAAATAAGTTTATTTTTTATCATACTCCTCTCCCATACAAATCCATTATTAATCAAATTATTTCTGGAATTTATGAATGGACAGGTGCAAGAAAAGGTTCGGTGGCTCAACGTCTATCTAAAAAACTAGAACATCATCCAATCAGCAGAGAGAATGTTTAAGAAAGCTTGGAGGATACACAGGAAGTTGATTTTGGAGATCTTTTGAAGTCTTTTTGTAACTCTTTTGTTTTTGAACAGTTATGTTGTTTTTAGTCTTATGTTTTGTTAGTCTATAGAAAATCTAATTCAAGTAAATATACGTATGGCTGGCTTTGGTTCTTTCTTATATCTGTGTCAACGATGAGTGACGGCAAGGCCCACTCCTCATCTTCACAGATCTCTAAAAGAAGAAAGTTATACGTTCCTATTTAGTTGAATTTTATTTTCTATCTACCAACATTTGGATACAATTTGTATCCTACTTTTTGTAACTATAACATATATATTTTAATGAACGGGGAGCATCCCCTGTTTTTCTGTCAAAAAAAAAAAAGATAGATATAACATTAGTTATATCACCTTAACTTTTCACATTTTTATTTTCTATCACCAAACAAAAGTTTTTATTAATCCCTCATATCTTTAATATTTTTTAAAATTAGTCCCTTAACTCATTGAAATTCCCGTTACTTATAAGTTGTTTAAAAAATTAGACCTTGCAACTAGATCCCTGCAGGATTCTTATAAATTGTTTCAGATTATTCATCCAATTAAGAGGAGCACTAAGTACCAAGCAATTTCAATGATTAGAGGGATTAACTTCAAAATAGGGTTTTTTTTTTAGATGCGTGCCCCTGATATCTTTAACATTAAGAAATTCGAACCTCAAATCATTGAAATTGCTATGTAGTCCCTCAAATTTAATTAATTTTCAAATTAGTCCCATTTGTAGTTAATCCGTCTAAATTGCTAGCTGATTAGTTGTGAACCACACATGGTCCGAATTTGAGGTACTAAGCAGCAATTTCAATAGTTTGAGGGACTAATTCAAAATATTAAAGATTTAAGGGACCAATAACGGAAAACAGAAACCCTTCAAAATATTAAAGATTTCAGGGACTAATATCGAGACAGAGAAAAACTCAAATGATCTTTTTCTAGCAAAAATTAATGTTTGTTCTCAACATTTTCACAAAGTGCTTTCCTCTTCTTCCGTTCATATTCAGTTCCGAAATGCTAATGCAAGCAAGGATGATCATCTACATGCTACGAAAACACAAGCGCACCTACAAAATACATCCAACAAAGAATATTTGATAACCCAGGTCCGGAATCGAACCCAAGACCGTAGACGCTATACTGGAACCCCCTAACCATTAGACCAGTTCGGAATCGAACCCAAGACCGTAAACGTTATACTGGAACCCCCTAACCATCCAGATCACTCGCGTCGGGTTACATTATAGATTTTTGCAAGCAATTATCAGATACATAAAAAAAAGGAGTGTAATAATTAAGCCTGCCGTACTCACCAGAAACGTAAACAGGAACTCAGCAGTAGCAAGCTCCTTCAAGAGTGAGAGAGAGAGAGTGGAGATGAGAGAATAAAGGAGCGCAAGCACCGGGCTTTTATATTTGCCTAAAGTTAGAAAAGGACGCAACGCATTCTCATGCATTCATTCTTATGCTTCAATTACTAGACAAATCGATCACGATCGTTCAAATGAGGTGATCCAACGGCCGCAGTAACAGATGCGGTTAGCAATTAAAAATGACCGACCGAAGTCAGCTGCCGGTTCAGTCCACATCATCTTTTCTCTGGTTGTGGGTTAAGTTTAGGGGTGTTAACGGAGCGGATACGGCTCGGATATGACACGTATCATATCCATATCTGATTACCCATCTCGGATACGGATACGGATACGGATATATGTCGGTAAGAAAAATTCATATCCATATCCGTCAAAATCGGATACGGTTATGGATATAAATGCGGATATATACACGGATATGCATGTGGATACAAAAAGGATATGAGAAAACTAGATAGTATTCAGAAAAATATAGTCATGTCGGATATGCATGTGGATACAAAAAGGATATGAGAAAACTAGATAGTATTCAGAAAAATATAGTCATGTGATACAAAAAGAGTAACTAGATAGTATTCAGAAAAATATAGTCATGTGATACAAAAAGAGTTCATTAATATGTTCATTATGATTAAAAAGTTGAGATTAGACATCTTGATCATCAAAATTAACCAAAAATCCATAATCTGAGAATCGAAACTATCGTAGGAGTATTACCAATATGTATTCGGATATTTTCGGATACGGATACGGATATTTCACTACAAAACCATATCCGCAATCATATCCTATCGATAATAGATTTGAATAATCATATTCGCATCCTAACGGATACGGTTACGGATATTTCCTCGGATACGGATACGGTTTGGCACCCCTAGTTAAGTTACTTTGATCTGGGAAGGCCGCTCCTTTGATCTGGGAATCTTCCTTTACTTTTGGGGCTTTTTCAAATTAGTGCTCTAAATGTTTAATGCTTCTTAGTTGTTCTATCAAATCGTTAAAATTGCTATGGGGACGTTAGTATTTTGATATTTTTCCCAAATCATTGTAATTGTTATTAAGCCCCCTTAATCATCTATATGTGCTGAAATTAGCCCCTCCATCGGATCTTCCATCCAGATCATTTAGCTATGGTCGGATTTATTCTAACCCATGCATGGATGGGTAATTGGTATTACCCCTACCAGGAAAAAGTCCTCACTTTATGTGTGTATGTGTGTATATGTATAGTGAGATAAAATCTTATTGCGAGATCGACTAATTGACTTATCAAATTCATGATTTGTACCATACATCTTTTTCAAAACATCATCAAATGTATATAATGAAAATTTCACATAGTTTGAAGTTTTCCATAATATAGTTCAAACCAGTTTAATATATTGATTTTTCAGACAGCTAAATAGCCACGCCCCTTTTGCACGTAACTAAAATAATAATTATAAATTTTAAAACATTATAATTTTTTTAATATACAGACGCCCCTTTTGCACGTAACTAAAATAATAATTATAAATTTTAAAACATTATAATTTTTTTAATATACAGATCATGATGAGGGCAAACCATGATGGGCGGTGCCGATTATCATATCGGGTGGCTAATTGGTCCAACTCATGATAAGAATTTCATCTCACTAACTCATTTCATCTTAATACCCTCAGAAATAGCTTGAACCCCTACATTGAAAGTGACTTTCTTCTGAGCTTTGGTTTAAGCTGACCAAGTTCAGAGAAGGGGATTCCTGCACAAATTTGCACTGCACACAGTACTCAACAAGGGAAGAAAACTTAATATTCTTAAAGTTGGAGACCATATAACACAATTGAGCCCAAATTAGGAGGGAGAAGATAGAAACATAACATAGATAATCATAACAACTAGTGATCTTTATGGTTCACATAACATTAAAGATCAAAGTGAAAGCTAGTACTGGAAATTAAACATATCAAGTGATCTTTATGGTTCACATAACATTAAAGATCAAAGTGAAAGCTAGTACTGGAAATTAAACATATCATCACACAAACAGAGAAAAGAAATTGCTAACGAACTTTGTGCTCTTTGTTTCTGTCAAGGAGAATGCCGATGACAAGAACTCCTCATCCTCCGCAAAAAGTTGCAGGTTCTTGCTCTTCATCAGGAATCCCACAGCAACATCATCAAAATCCAAGAGGCAGCTGAGCTTAATAACTTCAGCGAGTGCAGCAATATGATCAGCCCTCTCAAATAACAGTCCCTCCGATATCGCTTGAGAAAAGTAGCTAGCAAACTCAATCTTTGCTCTTTGTCCGCCTGACCTATCAATCTTCTGAATGAGTAACTTTGAGTTCTCCTTTTCCCATCGAATAATTCTACTTGCCTTGGCTATCAAAGTCTTGCCCGAGGAAAGTTGAAGGCGATAACTCATTGTAATAGGTTCATCAGTCTCAAAGACTGTTGAATCAAGAAGACACTTAATAATCTGTTGCCTATCCTCAAGGCATATATCAAGAAAAGGGTCTGCTAGAAACCCAAGAACAATTCTAACCAACCAAGTTTTTATTATGGTTCCTTTTGAATGATGTTTTCTGAAATCAGCATTTTTTGATAGGGAGGACTGGTCCTTTTCAATAGCCCCAGAAATAGTTCGAACCCCTAGGCTGCTGTAGATTAAGTTCATTTTAGCCCGAGAGGTTGAAGGTATAGTTGCTGGAGGATACCAAATGAATACAGATTCTTCAGAGGCCTCATCAAACAAATCCTTCAACATAAGATCATCAGGAACGAAGACATCTTGCTTGTTAGATAGCACAATTCCATTCCCTATTAGCATACAAATAAAATTTAGCCTAGAGTTTGAAATCTTATTTTAATTAAAAGCTTCAATTCAATTCAAAATCACAATTCCATTCCCTATTAGCACAATTCAATTCCATTCCCTATTAGCATATCCAAAATCACAAATAAAATTTAGCCTAAAGTAAAAAATTAAAAGCTTCTAATTTGCTATTTCGTTACTTTAGTGACAATCCTTTCGACTTTCTGACATGTATACATACTTTTCGGTAACCACCTCTCCCTACTCTATCACCACAACTAAGTAGTGATAATCAACAACTATATGCACTGACCCTCACCATCACAGTAAATCACTAGGCAACATTGTCGACAAATAAACAAATCTTATCCTGACAATTGTTGTATTAACCTATTCTCGTAAAAAAAAAGTTATAGAATTGATTGCAGATGTCTCAAGATCATTTGTGAAATGTAAAGGAATCTAGGACAAAAGTATATCAGATTACTGAGATTTCGATAAATAAGAAATATTTACCTGGAGGCAGTATGAATAATATATCATACTGTTGTAATTACTGACAATGTTATAAGCAAGCCAACATATTCTGGAGAAAACTGGAGGTTTAATACAAATCAAATGTATAGTAATGTCTTCTATAAAAAATGACGAGTGAAAGCAAGATATGAATTTTTTTTAAATGCTTATGGTTTTGCCATAGGAAACGCAGCTTTTGCATAATAGTAGAATAAAAGTGAATTACCTGTCATGTACGTTCTCTTTATCGTATAATTTTAATTTATGGCTGTTGGATGCATATAGCAGTTCTTTTCATTCTGCTCGTCTTAACTATTTTCAGACTGTATAATGTTTTTTTAAATCTAGCTCTTGCAACAATTTAGATGAAAACATTCATGGAAAGGCAAAATATCATGATTGATGCCAATATTGATGACAAATAAACACTATTAAATTTCGCAGATATCTCATGAACATTATATGGAATGTAGAAGAATCTTCGATAAAAGTATAGCAAATCTCTAAAGCTTGAGATATGATCACAAATGATTGAAAACCTTCATAATTAAAAGAAAACTGAGATAAAATGAAGTACCTGAAAGAACTGGAACCTTAGTGATCCTCTCCAGAAGATGGTTTGTCGTCTTCAAAAACCAGTGCTTTGCAATAAAGACCCAAAAAGCAATGCATTCAGCTTCAGTTGGTTGATGAAGGGCAGATTCCCACATATACCAGAGCTTGCAGTAATCTTCGACAGTTGGAACATTCTTAACCTTCAGTGCCAAGGAGAAGAATCCGAGCAACTTGCGCTCATAATACTTATCAAGAACATAGAGCTGAGAGCTGAAGAGATCATCCTTGTCGGAAAGAACACAACAGTATGATCCGACCCATTTGCCTCCTTCGGCGCCATCTGGTATCCAAATCCAATCAGAAGCTCCATCTTCAGGTTCCCATTTGAACTCCATCAAGTACTTGTAAACTCTAACTATGGCATTAGTCTGACAGTGGCATTTGAGATGATCAGCTAGCACTTTGCATCCATTACCATATCCCACAATAACTCCAAACATCTTTAGCTCTTCTCCATACGTTGAAATATCCGACCCGTAGAAATCCTGATCAAGAAAGGGTCCATCACCCCTTTCTAAAACAGGTTCCCACTTCGAATCATAGACAATGCACTCACCGGGGAACCTGTAACCCATGGCTGTCTTCAACCACTTCTTGTCAATACTTGCCATAAACTGCTCCCGAAAAATTTCCGCCTTTTTCCCCTTCAGATTCCGAATACATTTGAGCAACGAAAGACAGCTAGGTGCACTCACAGATGAAGGATCTTTAGGGATGTTCAGGCTAGTGACGACAAAATGGGCTCCCTCTTTGAATTCAACAGTGCAACCCAGAGCCTTGAGCTCATCTTTATATTCATAAATTCCCTTGCCATAGTAAGCCTCAGTATCATCAATAAAAGGAAGAGTAGCAATTGGCGAAACTGACTCCCATTCCGCCTCAAATAAGATGGATTCTTTGGGAGATCTGAACCCTGTTCGGGTGCGTATCCATTTTTCTGTGTGTATACAATTGGTAAGATCAGAAGGGAATCTGTATGAAATATTGGTCAACTGACGATAGCTTGAAAGCAATGCGAAAACATGTTTCTTTGTAAGCATAGATGAAGATGAAAGTAGCTTAAACCGGTTAGCAATGGCCTTGGATGCTTCCTCGAAACTCACGAGCACCCCAGCTTTCTTCAGTTCTTCCTTATAAGACCCAATCCTACCACCATAAAATGCCTGATCAACCAATGGAACTTCATCAACTACCTCGAGGAGGCAAGACCCAATCCTACCACCATAAAATGCCTGATCAACCAATGGAACTTCATCAACTACCTCGAGGAGGCATTCCCACTTCGAATCTACAAGAAAGCATTCCCTTGGCAATTTGTATCCGGTATGGGTTCTAACCCAACTTAACCCCCTGAGCTTATTAATAAACACTTCAGATGACTTCACATAGCGAATGCAATCAAGTATCAGAATCGCGGCGTCAGCTGCAACTGGAGAAGTTAGCTTGAAGTTGTCTACAACATGTTGGTGATTATGATTTAAGCCGACTACAACACCAAGTAGCTGAAGTTCAGTCCCATAGTTGAGAATTCTATCGCCGTAAAAGCCTTGATCAATGAAGGGAAGATTGCTTATAAGTGAGGCCGTTGTCCACTCAAAGGTTTTCAAAACAGATCCAACTGGAGATCTATAACCCTGAGAAGTCTTCAGCCAACTTCCATGTTTGATGCTAGAGATGAGATGTTCCGGGGACAGTCTCTTCTCCCTCAGTGCTCTAATTAAATCAAGAAGAGAGATTACATTTCCACTTGACAAAGTGGAGTTTGCTGCCAATGACATGAGATGGTTGCCGATGTAAGTTGATGCTTCCACAAAATCGAATCGAACACCAATGAATCTCAACTCTTCCTTGTAACTGCCAAGCTTGTAGTCATAAAACCGTTGATCCACCATGGGTATGTCAATGAGAGTGGACTCCATGCGCAGGAGACTTCCCCAGTCAGAATTAGAAAGGAACGATACAGACGGGGGCTTGTAACCAACTGATGTCTTAAGCCAACTTCCACTCTTGATGCAATGCAGAAACCTTTGCGGAATTTGAATACCTCTATATTTCAGCTTTGATATCCATTCTAAGAGCAAGAAGGTGTTCTCCTTCGTCAAAGGAGAAGATGCAGTAGAAAATGGGGCATTTGGAGGACATATCTTCGGAACATCAGAAGCTCCAATATGATTCTCAAGGAAGGGAAGAAGTATCTTTTCAGCAGTATAGTTTCCAGCGAAATTACCAGACATAATGTAGTCTGCTCCCATCTCAACATAACCCTCCCCTATCCAAACATTCGAACCCAATAATCCAACCCACCGGCTGCATTTTGCGGGAACCAAAGTCTTTTTTGTTTGTGCAGTCACATTTCCGTAGCTATTCACGAGCGGCATGCGACTGCACAACTCCTTGACAGCCCACTCTGTCAAATAGCCCTTCGAACAGGAGTGATAGAGGAAGTGAGCGAACGCAATCACATGCCTTCTATCATCCCGCAGGCTTGGCAAAGCCTTAAGCCCATAATTGTACACGTCTAAAACCTGGACTTCAGCGTTCGATTTTAACCAACTTATGATGGTAGCTTGTCTGGGATATGTTGCAAGAACTGTCTGAGTGTTTTGAGGTACAAAAAATATAGCAGAAGACAAGAATTCCCGGCTCCAACTAATCAACCAGGAAATGTTCTTGCTTTCTGAGGCAATACCTATCTTCTGGCTAGACGAAGCTGCTCCGTTTATGCTCCGCAAAGAGAAACTGCCACTCACGTCTACATACTTTATGAGAGGTATGTTGGCCATGTTGGTGCCCTTGAAGAAATCCTGCCATTTATTGGCTAGGAAACAAAGAAGATCCAAGTAAACCTCCTCAGTAACTTCCCTAATAAGATTGGAACTCTGAATGCAATTCGCGTACCACTGCTTATCCACAAACCCCACACCTAGAAAGTCCAACACCTCATCATTTTCTTTCCTATCGAACGATGAACTCAGGCAATAAATCCCATGGGATGACAAGTTCTTAAAGTCCACCTTAAGCTTCTCCACCGAACGATGAACTCAGGCAATAAATCCCATGGGATGACAAGTTCTTAAAGTCCACCTTAAGCTTCTCCACCTTGTCCAGGATATTCCAAAATTCTGGCATGGGATGACAAGTTCTTAAAGTCCACCTTAAGCTTCTCCACCTTGTCCAGGATATTCCAAAATTCTGGTATCAGCCGGCCAACTTCACCTGGCTTGGAGAAGAATTTTTGGCTAGTCTGAGATTCGCAGGGTACAATATGCTCTGCCACTACTCTTTGATGGACTGCCTCACGGAGTCCATTAGCGGTATTTTAGAGCTTTTCACTGGGAGGAAGCGAAACATGGAGGAAATGCAGGAAGGGGGAGCTGTCGGCGTTGATTTCACCAAGGAGACAAAAGCATTAGTGAAGGCAGAAGGAACACATTCAAGAATTCCTTTGTTCCAGGGGCTATCCAAAAGTATCGACTCCCTTGACGAAGATAGAAGGAAGTCTGCCTGAATTATGAACGGGAAGTTTGTGACCATCTCGGTGGGTAGAAAGGAGTATATGCCAGGTGTGGTTAGCCCTCGATTTAGCCGCTGTCCCCACGGAAAAGCCAGAATGATGACCCAGTCGTCGACTTCCATTCTCTTCTTCACCCTACAATCAGATTTCACGGGGAATTTTTGCTTCCACATGTAGTAGCTGCACTCTTCCTCTTCCTGTTTGCCGTTTTCTTGGGCAGCAAGATGGCGAGTGTATGATTCTGCATCTACGTTCTTTCTCATCTCAACATCCGTCTCACCTGAGATGGTTGGCTCACCGTGTTAAGCCTTGGATCATCATTTTCTTCCCTGACGGCAAGCTGTTTAATTTTTGAAAGGAACAATAGGATTTCAGGGTGCATTTTCGACAGCTGTTGCTTCACTGCCGCAACCTTTCCATCTTTTAACGGCAAGATTATTGTCGTCGTGGGAAGTTTCGTGGAAGGACCATATACTTGTTTTATGTTCGAGAGCATCAGATTATCCTCAACCCATTCAGGGACGATGTACCCAATGTTGCACTCTGGGCATGGTTCTTCGTTGAAGCGTATCTGATATCCATTACTAAAGACGTGAGGCTGACTGGATACCAGAAACACACTTTTGAAACCAATGCCTGCAAACGAATCAAAACGCAAGTGGTCTTCAGAAACAGAATTATGATTCCTCTAGAGATATTTTGACAGTTGCCTTCACTTAATTTGCTTTCAAAAGAGAAGATACTACAAGATAATGATGGTTATCGTACGTTCAAGGCAATACAACCAAGTTCAGATATTTTTCTCATGTTTTGCCCTTAGACACATTTTTCAGTACGAAGACCAAGTTCAGATATCCAAGTGCAGATCCAAGTGTATCGGAGAGTGTAAGGCGAAACAAAGATATGTTGCTATTCAAAACTAGTGAACATGAGGTCACAGGATGAAAATGATCAAACGCAATGCAAGCACTAACTAAAAACTACACGCACAAAAGTTCAAATGCGAATAAAAAGTAGTGAAAATGAGGTCACAGGATCAAAATGATCAAACGCATTGCAAGAACTTCCTAAAAACTACACACACAAATGTTCAAATGCAAAAAAAAAAAAAAGGGTCTTGCCGTTTACCTTTCTCCCCGATGTAACCACGATTGCGGCAGCCTTTCTTGGTGGACTTGCCGACCCTGCAGATGGATTCGATGTTGGCCGGCGTGAAACCCTTCTCATTGTTGAACACCAGCAGTGTTGCTGATGCTCCGGTGGCGGTGAGGTCTTTCGACGTGAAACCCTTCTCATTGTTGAACACCAGCAGTGTTGCTGATGCTCCGGTGGCGGTGAGGTCTTTCGACGTGATGACGAACTCCAGTGACGGCGGCGTTCCAGCTGGATACTGATTGTCTTCAGCATTCTGTTGATGATGATGATAGAAGAGCAAACGCAAATTAATTTATGAAACCCCTTTGAAGTTAAATCACCTTTTCATCACAAAACCCCTCAAACGTTTAAAAAAAAAAACACTTATTCCAAAATTCCCCTCTCCTTATTCCTCTTGATATATATTTTCCCTTTCTCTCAAAGGCAAAACACAGATTAGAAACTGAAAGTTACACAAAATTTTGAGGTCTAATCAAAGAATTTGTTAAAAATAAGTTAACTTTCGAATTGAGGGGTTTACTAATCCATCTATTTAAGCAGGCGAGTTAATAAGTCC